TCTTTTCTATCAATTTTGGTACTATTTCTAGAGGGTCTTCTAAGATGAAAACCAGGTCGCCTGCAAATGCTTGCAGCTTAAATTCTTCCTTTTTGATTTTCATTCCTTTTATATTCTTTTCATCTCTAATATTTCTGTTTAGCACTTCCAAAGTTAACACAAACAACAAAGGTGATAGTAGGCACCCTTGTCTTGTTCCTTTTCTTATATTGATAGAGTCTGTCAGTTCTCCCTCTATCATTACCTTTGCCGTTTGCTTATAGTATATAGCTTCTATTGCTTGAGTAAATTTTCTAGCAAAGCCCATCTGTTCCAGAAGTAATAACATGAATCGCCAATTCACATTATCAAATGCCTTCTGTGTATCTAGAAATATCAGAGCCATTTGTTTTTCAGGATGTGCCTCATAGTATTCCAAGGTGTCCAAGATTACTCTCATATTATCTTTAATTTGTCTCTTTGGCAGAAATCCATTTTGATCAGGATGAATAAAATTATTTAGATATTTTTTAAGTCTTTCTGCCAATATTGAAGCAAAGATTTTATAATCTGCATTTAGTAGAGAAATAGGTCTGTAGTTCTTAATTTGTAATGGATCAGCCTCTTTTGGAATAAGTGTAATATAGGCTTCTGACCATGATTTAGGTATCTTCTTTAACATAACTTCATTCATAACTTCTAGCAATGGAAGATTCAACGATTCTTGTAATGTTTTGTAAAATTCTGGAAGTCCATCTGGGCCTGGTGCCTTTCCATTATTTTGTTTCTTGAGTGCTTCAGTTAACTCCATCATCCTTATATTGCTTTCTAACATTGTTTCAATCTCTTTAGGTATCTGGGGTAGATTAGCATTCTGTAAATACTGTTTAACTCTTTCCTCATCAATATTCTCTTGCATATATAGTTTCCCATAGAAGTCTTGAATGATTTCCTTCTTCTCTTTACTACCATAGCAAACTTGGCCTTGGTCATCTGTTAATTGCAATATTTTCCTTGATTCTTTCTCCTTTCTCAATTTGTATGCTAATCATCTACCTGGTTTTGCATCTTCAAAGTAGTTCTGTTTAGCGCACCTAATTTTCTGTGCTAATTCTTCTTTTTCTATTTGACCCATTTTATGTTTAACTATATCCATTTTTAGCTTGATGTCCTTTTTCTGTGGCATTTTCTGTAGCTCTTTTTCAAGTCTTTTATACTCATCCTCTAAGGCCTTGGAAGCTAATCTTTTCATAGTATTTCTTCTCCTTGTATAGTCTATTATCAAGCCTCTAACATATGCCTTCATTGTATCCCATACATTCTGAATTGATGTATCTTCTTTTTTGTTTTCTCTAAAGAAAAAAGCCAATTCTTTCTCCATCCACTGTGTGAAGTCTTTTTCCTTTAAAATAGTATTATTTAAGGTCCATCTAGATCTTCTTTTTTGTCCTTTCCATTTAATTATCATTGGATTGTGATTTGCCCAAGTACTTGTTTCAATATTTATTTCTTGAATATTAGTTATTAATTCTGTTGACATCCATATCATATCTATTCTGGACCATGATAAGTGTCTATTTGAATAGAAGGTGTATTGTTTAGTTTTAGCATTTCTTTCTCTCCATGTATCTTTTAAGTTTATTTCATCTACCATTTAAAAAAAAGATTTAGGGAGAGTCTTTCTGTTTTGCTTTATTGTTTTCTATGCTGTATAGTCCAATTTATTGTCTACAATTCCATTAAAATCTCCCATCATAACTATATTAGCATAGTCCAGTTCAATTATTTTCATATGTAATTTTTTGTAGAATTCTTCTTGTTTGTCATTCGGGGGATAGATTGCAATCAGGAGTGTTTTCGTATTATTGTCCATTATTTCCACCATTAGTATTCTTCCGTCATCATCAGTTTAAATCAATTTTGCTGGGATAGTCTCTTAAAGAATGCTGGCGGAATAGGTGGAACTGAGGTAACGGAATGTGAGGCAACTGGCAGTTGGAACAGAGTTCTTTTCAGGTGAGGAGGGGGAGTAGAACTCCTTAGCATCAGAGCATGTTAATTAATTTCTGTATAAGAAATACTAATGATCTGATGGCCATTTTGAAAAATCCTTTCTTAGCAAGCACATAAAAGCCAAGAGGAACATACATGCCAAATTTCAAGTTTGTAGGCTTTACGCTTCTGGAGATTTTGTGATGACGCATAAGTAATTTTTTGCATATATATATATATACATATACATATATATATATATATTTCTTAAGTTTTCGCTGGTACTTACATGTATGGCATTCAGCTTCATTCGGGTATTTTCCCACGTCATTGTAGTTGTGCTTTTAAAGTTGTAGCAACGTTTCGGCAGAATCTCATCTGCCATCATCAGGCTTCTGTATTGTGTTCATCTGTGAGTCTGTGAGTTTTACAACTGTAAAAGTCTGATTCACAGACGAACACAATACAGAAGCCTGATGATGGCAGATAAGATTCTGCTGAAACGTTGCTACAACTTTAAAAGCACAACTACAGTAACGTGGGAAAATACCCGAACAAAGCTGAATGCCATACATACATAGATACATACATACATACAATATCAGGTGTGTATATATATATATATATATATATATATATATATATATATATATATAT